CTTTCTAGTTGTTATTAGACTGTCCCTGTGCCCACATTTCTCTCCTTTGGCTATGCTGGCTAGGGCAATTGGAACATTCAGTCCAACCGCTTCTGGAAGGATAGATGATTCCCGTCCCTACACCAAATGGATTGGCAGGTGATGCCAGTTGGATGCCTTCTAGATGTGTTGGACTACAACAAGAATTGCCAAATGTTTCAGCCTCAAAGACCCCATCTGATGCTTTTTTCTTAATTTTCTGGGATGGGCAGCATTATTTCCCTCCTCTTCTCCTTACTATGTTAACAGCATGCAAGCTAAGTTTATCCACTGAACTAAAACTGCAGCAATTGAAGTAAGCTAAGGACAACGAAGAGGAATGGGAAGGGGAGAGAGAAAGCATGACATTTTCAAAGCAGCTGAAATGAACAAATGATTAATCCATCAGAAACATGGATTGTTGGATGGTATTGCACAGAAAAATAGTTTAATTAGGATTGTCCCTGCCAAAACAAGAAAGTTGGAAGAGTATATAGATAGTGCAGAGAGAAACTGAACTATGCAACTCAGTTGTTCATATTCTTATTAAAATTCATTAATGGGTCAATTTGATCATTTCCCCCCTGATATTTTTCTTAAAAACAGGGCATACTAAGTCATGGGCCATTGATGGTTTTGCTCAACTAAAGAAAGAATACAACTTGAGATACGTTTGAGGATCCCAGCCTGCAAGAAGACCAAATTTGTGGCCATCTAGGAGACACCTGAGGAAACACACTAGTCTAGTTGGTGAAGATCACTCCATACCTGGGGAAGAGAGTGGGCATTTCTTCTGACAGCTGAAGATGGCCTCTGTACGAGAGGTCTCCAGTTTCACAGAGGACCTGCTCTGTCCCATCTGCCTCTCCATCTTTCGGGACCCTCACATGCTGGAGTGTGGTCACAGTTTCTGTGCCCCGTGCTTGGAGCCCTGCATTCCCAAAGGCCAGAGACGTGGGCTTTGCCCCGAATGCCGGCGCCCATTCGCCTTGCGCCACATGGCCATCAACCGAGCCCTGTGCAGCCTGGCGGAGAAGGCACGGCTTCTCAAACTGGATGAAGGGCCCCAACTGGGTGCCACTGGAGGCTGGTATTTCTGTGAGGAACATGAAGAGCCCCTCAAACTCTTCTGCAGTCAAGATGAGGGACCTGTTTGTGTCATCTGTCGGGACTTGCCTCAACATCGTGGACATGACTTCCTGCCCATCAAAAATGCAGTTCAGGCTTATCAGGTGAGAGACTGGCACACTCTGGTGTCAGTGCAAAAGATATGGAGCAACAACTCCTAAACTTTGGTCTTCCAGTTGGTTTGGACTCCTAAAAGTCCCAAACACCCTGTCCAATGGTCAGAGATTCTAGGAGCTAAAATCTATGTGTTTTTAGTATGACGACTGACCACTGTAGTTTTAAATATATGGGTTATTGTTTTAATGGGTTATTGTAATTATTTACTATGATGTTTTACCAATTGTATGTGCTTTTATGGTTGGAAACCGGTCTGAGTCCCTCGGAGAGGTGAGAAGGTTGGTATAGAAAACTTGGAAATAAATAAACAAAAACATCTGGAGAAGCAAAGTTTAGGAAGTACTGACATGGAGCATAGTTGTTCAGATCAGAAGAGTCTAGGATCTTCTCTTCTGAGGTGACTGGGCAGCCGACAATGTGGAGAGTGTTACTGTCCTCTTGGGGTGCATCTAGCTGTAGAATTAATGCGGTTTGATACCATTTTAACTGCCATAGCTCAATGCTATGGAATACTGGGAGTTGTAGTTTGGTGAGGCATTCTTGGGCAGAGACAGATGCACCCTATGTGGCCTGCAGTGTGGAGGTAGACATGGACTGTATCCACACTTCAGAAGTATAGCAGTCTGATAGCATATTGCTATGGCTCAGTGCTGTGGAATATAATATACTAGAATAACTTTATTGTTATTGTACATTGTACTTACTTTATTTAGTTAGGCGATCCCTCGTTGTCTGAGTAAGATCATCCTCCAAGTTCAGTGTCCTGGTGCTGGGTACGAAGGTGGCTGTGGAGCCCTATTATTGACCTTCCTGTTCTCCTTCAGTGAGGGCATCGGTTTCCAGGTGGAAGGTGGTCCTGGTTGGGGTTGGCTTGATGCGCCTTCCTCTTGGCACATTTCTCTCTTTCGCCCTCCATTCGTGCCTCTTCAAATTCTACAGCACTGCTGGTCACAGCTGACCTCCAGCTGGAGCACTCAAGGGCCAGGGCTTCCCAGTTCTCAGTGTCTATGCCAGAGTTTTTAAGGTTGACTTTGAGCCCATCTTTGTACAATGAAATTAAATGTTTTCTCAAGCACACATCCCAAAAACAACACTGCCATTTTGGGAGACATTTACCCCTCTGTGTCAGCGAACTCTGATGACACAACAAAGTACAAGACCCTGGATTCCATAAGATGAAGAAGGCTAAAGTGATGTTTAACTGCTACAATTCTGTACTGTAGATGGGAGGATAGACTTCTCAGTGACAGCTTTTGGGTTGTAAAAGTCCCTTCCAAGACTGACCAGCCCTATGACTGGCTCCATCCCATGTTGTTCTTCTTTCAGCAGGCCACTATTTTTTTCACTCAAATGGACTTCTGGTGATTAAATATGGGATTTAAACAAGATGCTTCTTGGCTTTTAAACTGATATTCATGTAATATTTTTTAATCTAACTTATTTATTTATTTATCTATCATGTCAGAAGCGAATTGACAATAGTTATAATGTATAGAAAAACCACACACAAAGTTTAAACTTGGCATTATACAAAATGTACTTTGACCAGAAGCTGACCACTTTGAGTGTCTCTGGTGTCGCTGTGAAAAGGTCCTCCATTGTGCATGTGGCAGGGCTCAGGCTGCATTGGAGTAAGTGGTCTGTGGTTTGCTCTTCTCCACACTCGCATGTTATGGACTCCAATTTGTAGTCCCATTTAATTCAGCTGTGACATAGGTTCATAATGTCATTAAATGTGTTTTAATCTTTTTTAAAAAATAAAAGTTCCTGTTTTGTATTTAAAAAAATATTTTGTGAGCCTCTCTGAGACTCAGTTTTTAGGAACAAGTGGATGATAAATCCAGTAAATAAAAATAGGCTGAGATCCTTCATAGCCACAATGGCACAGCTTTAACTGTCCATCCAACACTTTTACTCATTTTTGGAAGTGCTCTTTAGTTTACAACGCTCCACCCCAGAGCTCTCTAACCGGGACCTCATCTACACTGCTGTATAATGCAGCTTAAAACTGCATTTTATGCTCAGCATAGACTCATACAAAACAATTCAATGCAGTTAAAATGCATTATATGAGTCTATGCTGACCATAAAATGTCATTTCAAACTGCATTATATGGCAGTGTAAATGGGGCCTGACTCTGTGGCCCCATTTTCACCGATCATTTAATGAAGATTGAACTTCCCTAAGTGATGTTGGCTATTCACTCTTCTTTTCCTTCTAGGACCAACTAAAGGCATCTCTAGAGCCCTTGGAGGATGGTCTCAGGCGTCTGAAAATGAGTCAGTGTCGCCAGCAAGAGAACATTATAGAATTAAAGGTGTGCTTGAAACATTTCAACTGGTGTTGAATTTGATCTCCCCTGTTTCCTTGTCACTGCAAAATAGAGAACTGTAGGTATTTTTCCGGGTCTGTGTTATGCCTGATATTTTGCATTCAGCACTCGTGATTCTGTTCAGAATGAGGATGTCAGCTTGAGGTATTTGTTGTCTGTATTCTTCAAGAAAATATTGTAGAGTGGAGTCCTTCTGTTCAGAGTTTGTCAGTTCTCATTGTGGATTACTTTATTCCATTCCCATATCTCCCTGTTTTTTGGTTCCTGTGTCTTCCTACAGTCTTACTTTTCATAATGCTACCTCCCTCATTCCATTCCATTTTCAAGCTCCCCTCACCAAAGGAATGTTTCTTCTTCAATTGTTGGGCTCCTACTGATAAGTCTCTTGTGTGTGGTGCTGTTCTGTTTACATAAAGATCTATATGAAAGATATGTTATTTTGAAATTCAAATCAGATCAGAGGAATCAGTTCAGAAAATGAGAGCATGCATCATCTGAGAGATCACTCTTGTTTTCATATTTCCATTGCTAATATCATCAACAATATCAACACAACAGCATCAACAGGCTTTCCACTTGTCTGGGATGAAGGAGGTTTTGGATAAAGTGGAATGGCTTACAGAATAGCACTCTACATCCTGTCCAAAATAAAGTATATGAATGCATAAGACAGGGTTATATGTTTATATTATACCGACTTGTTTCCAATCCAGGATTTTTCTGTTAGTGTCTTGTGTTCTTCTTCTATGAAGAATCCATAGAGGTGGTGAATGATTCCTGCTCACCTTGACGTTTTTAGATGCACTGTGGTGCTCAAAGTATTTGCTCGCAAACAGATCACTCAGGCAGCTACCAGGTGATGGTGATAAAGTTGTACTGTGATGGCAAAGTGTTGCACACTGTTATAAACTCAGTGGAAATTAATAATCCATGATATCAAGAATAAACTCCAGTCTTGCACAACCACCAATAATTGTGCTGGTGATGGCACAAACCTATTACTTTCATGGCATTTTAGTCAGGACCCAGAGATGTGTTCTGGGACTTAAAATGGATAATAGAGATTGCAGGCAATGTGGAATCCAGTGAGACTTCTTGTACCTTTGCACAACTGTTGGCCAGCAAGTGTCGTCTGCCTCAACTATGTTTGGCTCAGCTTCTCCTCTGTTTCCAGTTCATTCTTCTCTGCCACCTTGGACTCTGTTATTTGAGGAGCAAAACAGAATAAACTGGAGGAGGAAGAGGAGGAAGAGAGCTGGATGCATCAGAGACAGATGCTGTTGCCATCAGTTGTGCAAAGCAGGCAGTGGTGGCAAAGGGGACACCCTCCCATCTTGGTTGCATGGAGTCACTGTGCATCTCTTTGCTGAGCAAGGAAACTCTCTGTCAAGAGAGATGCATGGGACTGCACAACCAGGATGGCGTCTTCCCTGATTGATGTTCTACAGTAAGAAATAGAAATTATTAAATGTACTTAATTACATGGCCTCCAAGTATGGGATGTACTTAACTACATGGCTTCCAAGTATGTATATACCAAGAAATGTACTAATTAGTAAGGTAGCTATGATGCGTTAAGGTGCTCTTTGTAATTTCCATGTAGAAATAATGAGTCCTTTGTCTTGCTCAGGGTGTGTGTTTGGTGAGGCACTGGCTCCCTTTAGTACAGAAGGCTTAATACCTTGTAACTATGGTTCCGAGGATTCCATAACTTAAAAACTTAACTTTATGTTTTATACCCTGCCTCCATCTCCCCGAAGGGATTCGGGGCGGCTTACAGAGGGACATGGCCAACAAATACAGATTGAAATAAGTACAGAAAATACAATCAATAACAACTCAATAAACATCATAATCAGACAACACCATAAAAACAATATAAAACAATGTCATGGCTGAACAACAAAAGATGGGATCGGCTCTTGGTTCCTAAGTGCGATGATTCCTATGTAGAGCCAAGGAAAAAGTGGGACAATTGAAGGGCAGGCTAGGAGGCTGGTGCCTTTATACTATTAAAGTGTTAAAATAGTTTTCGCTGCAGCTAAAATTAACCTTTGTGATTTACCACTTAGTGACCCTATTGGGTGGAAATGTGCCAAGGACAAGACCCCATATTTAGGGGTCACACCATCTCACTACCAATATGAACTAGAGGAGGTGGAGGTCAGCCAGGTGCAACCAAGGCAGATGCAATGATCAGTAAGGATTTTGGTCAGTAGGGCAGTTTTGGGTCACAGATACATAAAACCACTGGTACCAATCCTGCAGATGGGGAAGTCCTACTATATTTCCATCATCTGTTCTAGAAAGAAAATATTTGGAAGCATAATCAATCAGTTGCCCGGATTAACGGATTATATAGTTCTGATAGCCGGTCTTGGGGAAATAGGTCTAGATCTATAGGTTTTGGTCTTGCCTTTGGGGGTAAATGTGAGTCATGTTTTAACAGACCAGAATTTTGTCACGATCTCTCCTTGTAGACCTGCTCTGAATCCTTGTCTGACCACGTGTCTGGGGAATTTGTGAAGATGCACCAGCTGCTAAATGACAGAGAGTTGGGTTTAAAGGAAGCCCTGGAGAACCAGCGAGAGAAGAACCTGGCCCAAATGGAAACCAAATTGAAGGAACTGAATGAGAAAGTGGCTTCTTGGTCGGAAACCCTCTGTCAAGTGCGGGCAGGACTTGAATGCAAGGATCACATCAGTTTCCTCAAGGTGAGAATGAGCTCGTGTTTAGGAAAGAGGTCAAAAATATCAAGCTTAGCCACTTAGATGATGCTTCATAAAATTGTAGGATTATGGTTATTTGCTTCCTGAAACAGAAACTATCATTTAGTAAGGAAGTTAATTTGTAACTTTGCTGAAATTTAATATCTCTGTAGCCACTAGTTTAATTTATCCAATTTGTTTTTTTCTACTTCCCTTTTTTAACTACCACTCTCTTCTCTTCCTAGCAAGTTTCCTTTTGTTTGTTTCAAGCTTATCCAAGTAAATGCTGGATTAATATTTCTAGAAACAATCAGATATTCTTCACCAAACAAATGAAAATTTTCTCAACATTTCTATTTTGTTCAGATGTCCATTTTTTATGACATGGAGTCATTGAAAACTGTTGATCTGCCTCTGATAAGATAAGTGATGGCTGGCTACTATAGGGAAGAGACATTTTAGTTATTTAATCTTTTTGCCCTTTTCTATTCCTTTCTCTCCAGGAAGCAAAGGACTTGCTGGAGAGGTGAGTAGTGTCTCCTTTCCCTGTATAGGGAAAGTAAAGCATTATTGGATTGCCACAAGTTGAACAATCAGGATATTGTTTTTGTTTTGTGAATCATATATGTAGAGACATAAGAAACTGTATTATACTGAATTAGACCATTGTTTTATCTAGTTCATTATTATGTACACTAGCCTTCCTCATACCAGTAGCCAGTATATACAAGGGTTGAATGAAAAGTAATGCCTCCACCTTCGTAACTCCTCAACAGATGGCAGTACTGGTATGCGGCATGCACTGGCTTGTTCAGTAGACTCTCCTCTACAGTTCCATTTTGGTGGGAAGCATTAGCATTGAATGTTTGTGTTGTTAAAACGCGAAGTATGGAACCCTGCACAGATGGTCGGTCAGTGCGACTTAAGCAACGTGCAGTCATTGAATTTCTTGACAGCAGAAGGTGTCACCCAAAGGAGATTCATCAGAGAATGCAAGCTGTTTATGGTGATTGTGTTGATGTGAGTACTGTGCATCGTTGGGCAAGTAAGTTTAAAGATGTTGAGGTGGGAACATCTGACTTGCATGACAAACAGAGAATTGGATGTGACAGTAACCACTGAGTTTCACAAGCAAAAGGTTGACAGATTGATTGAGGATGATCATCGCATCACTCAGAGAAATTTCAAGCATAATCGGCATTTCACATGAATGTGTGGGTCACATTATTGCTTTGCTTGGCTATTGGAAAATCTGTGCATGATGGGTTGCGGAAACAGAGTGTTGAGTTCTTTCGTGATGACTTCAGAAAACTTGTTCATCGTTGGCAGAAATGTATCCAATTATCTGGTGATTATGTGGGAAAGTGAATAGTGGTAAGAAGCGCATTCTAAGGATTATTTCTGTGTTTGATTTATTAAAATATTCCCATCCAAACCCAAGTAATGAAGGTAGAGGCATTACTTTTCATTCAACCCTCATAGTTGAGACTACATCTATCAACCCAAGGTATCATGGTGGCCATGAATGGATTATATTTTTCATAGGCTGTGTTTACACCTGCCAAATAGAGTAGTTTGTCTTGGAGCTCCCATTCATACAATGTAAGGAGTCTCCACCTAATAGCATGGAACTGTCACAAAGTCCTGTTTTAGTCCACATGGATGGCTAGTCTAACAGCAGATCTGCACTAGTGCCTTGTCTTTTTGGGGAGCATCACTACTGTTACACCACCTGGAAAAAAAGCCTCAAGAAACTTCATGGTAGAGCTTTGCTATTGACATCATTTCTGATGCCTTCAGGTATGAGCTTGCCAGGAACAATGTTTCCAGTAAGGCTGTGCTGAGGAGCTACTTCAGGTCAGCAAAAGAGCAGCAGAACTTTTTTGATGTGTGGACACTGAATCACCCTTGATCCAGCCTTCCACAAATCAAAAACACTGAGGGTCACTCAAGAATTTCTTGAAAGTTCAGGAATAGTTCTCCTTGTGTCAGATTAACATCTGGAAGCAGCACTTCACCTTTGGAACCAACTGTACATTGTGTGGACTTGCAGTGGCTTCGAAGTGAGTACATTTCATTTGGCCTGTGTAGATGTAGGGATTGTCCTCATTATATATGGAGGGCATCAGGTATGAAAGGCTGGTCTTCCTTGAACAGAAATAGCTTGTGAAAGTTACAGTCAGGGATTTCTTCCAGTTGTGTCTAATGCCTTTACTAAATCTGAGATGTTTTCAAATAAAGCCTGTACGCTGCCTCTATGGGTCTTTGTTTCACACATTTGGCTCCTTATTGTGGATATAAATAAGGCTGATCTATGGAGATGAACTACGTTGACTTGCTCTTGTATCCTTTAAACCGCAGATCAGCCTGCAGAGATTAGGGGAAGATATTTCTCAGTATGGATATAAAATCCCCTCCTAACCTCTTGTCAACACAGGAAACCATGGTTTCTGCTACAGTTGAAAGTTGGCGCCACTAACTTGGGGAGGCATGGTCAAGCAATATATACTTTTGGGATTTAATTATTTAAAGCCATGGATGGTTGAATCCATGGATACAGAATATGTAGAAATGGAGGGTTGACTGTATTTTGTAGGAGCCCTTGGTGGCACAATGAGCCGGCAGGACAGTTGACCTAAAGGTCGGCGGTTCGAATCTGGGGAGCTGGGTGACCTTCTGTCTGTCAGATCCAGCTTCCCATGCAGGGACATGAGAGAAGCCTCCCACAGGATGGTAAAACATCCGGGTGTCCCCTGGCAATGTCCTTGCAGACAGCTAATTCTCTCACACCAGAAGCGACTTGCAGTATATTCTCAAGTTGCTCCTGACACGAAAAACAAAACAAAAAACAAACCCTGTATTTTGTGATCCTTGGCCTTTGAAAGTTTTGACAGAGAATCCCCCTTTTAGCTATCAAATAGTTAATACTAATGCTACTTGAAATTAAGTGTGCCCAGCCCTTGGCATTATACTGAAAACTGAAGCACTTCAATAAATATGATTCAGGCTTGAAGGGTAGTATGGATAGTGTGATGAATCACTCTGTCAATAAAAACAGATACTACTAAACTGGCTGACTCTGAGGTGTTTCCTCCCTGCAGGGTCCGTAAGGAACAACGATCCCAAGGTGAAGAGGAAGAGGAATTAGAGGCAGAGATGATGGAAGAAGGTTTGGGGGCCAGCAGTGAAGACACAGATGAGTGTGAGAATGAGGCAGAGGAAGGTGGGGAGAGTGAAGAGGAGAGGAAGAAGAGGAGGAGGAAGAAGAAGAGGAGGAGGAGGAGGAAGATGAGGAAGAAGAGGTGGAGGAGCAAGAGAGAACAGCAGAGGAAGAGGAAGAGGAAGATGGAGTCGTGCCTGTAGATTTGAACCTGGGCGAGTTCAAAGGTCCTCTGCAGTTCTATGCCTGGAAAGAACTCTTGGGTGCAGTGCATCCAGGTGAGAGATGCCTTCTGGGAGTGGGGCTTACAAACCAAATGGCACAATCCCCAAATAGATAGATTTGTGGTTGTCTTTTTCTTCACCTCAACATTTTAATCAGTCACATAGTCCTCAGGATACAGTCATCACACATGGATGGTTGGTAGGCCCTTCCTTGGCCTTTTTGCATTCTGTTGACCATGGGAGTAGTTCCAATGTGGGGCCAGGAACCATGCAAATGCAACATACCCACAGAGTGTAAATGGTGCTCTAACTGAGATAAAGAAGTTTGGGAAAATGTCATTGCAGACATTATCCTTTTTGAATGACTATTAACTAGTAAATATACTCCCACTTCAGTCTTGGTCCAAAAGTAAAAACAGATCTTTGGGTTTTCCTTATATGATTATCTATCAGTTATAGACAGATGAATGAATTTTGAAAACAGGGATAAATGAGTTCTCTCTGTATTTTCAAGTCAAGGATGGTACAGTTTTGTGGGTGGATAGCCACCTCTGTGGAGCTTTTACTGTATAATATCTCACTACTTTTTTTAAAAAAAGTAGGTGGACAATGTGGAAAACAGTTAACGTGGGATGGATTTCCCAGTAAGTGAATTAGAGGGTTGAACTATGAAGTCTCATTGCTAGACTAGTACTGTTATGGCACTGTAATACAGTGTGATCCCTGTGTCTGCATGGGATATAGGAGCCCCCGGTGGCGCAATGGGTTAAACCCTTGTTCTGGCAGGACTGAAGACTGACAGGTCAGAGGTTCGAATCCTGGGAGAGCGTGGATGAGCTCCCTCTGTCAGCTCCAGCTCCCCATGCGGGGACATGAGAGAAGCCTCCCACAAGGATGATAAACATTAAACATCTGGGCATCCCCTGGGCAACGTCCTTGCAGATGGCCAATTCTCTCACACCAGAAGTGACTTGCAGTTTCTCAAGTCACTCCTGACATGGAAAAAAATCCCATAGGATATGTGTTTCTGAACCTACCATAGAAACAGGATAGTAGTAGATCCTATTGAAGTGAACAACTTCCACCAGAAAATATTAGATAATTACACAGGGAGACCTAGTCCTCCAGTATGTCTCTATAATAATATCCAGAAGAAGTATAATGTAGAACCAGAAGACCAAGAAAATTTCTAGAGAGAACATAATTTTGTGGGGTGGAGGTGGGGGTAGGTAAAACCATTGGTACTGGTTTGTGATTATGGGGATCATATTGTACTGCCAAAAATAGATGTGTATGCATGTTTGATTAAGTCCCCTTTTATTTTATTCTTCGTGGAGCTCTATTGACTTTCATACCAACCTACTTATTTTGCAAGCTTGTTGAACATAGTTTTGAAAGAGCACTGAATACTATAGAATCATGTAGGAAGGCCTAGCGATACCAGGCAATTATGTGTCTACTCTAGATTTCCAGCAGGATTCTGCAGTCAACTTGTGCTGGACATTTTGGTGTAAGCTCACCAAAGCTGGAGATGTAGAGCAGTGGTTTTCAACCTGTTGGCCTTCAACTCTCAGAAATCCCATCAGTTTATCAGCTGTTGGGATTTCTGCGAGTTGAAGGCCAAAACATCTGGGGACCCACAGGTTGAGAACCACTGTGCTAGGGGGTCAAATAAACTACTTCAGAAGTTCTCCTCGGAGCATTGGGTCCAAATTACAGGAAAGAAGATCCTACCTGAACATTAGGAAGAACCTCCTGACTGTAAGAGCTGTTCACAGTCTCAGAGTGTGGCGGAGGCTCCTTCTTTGGAGGTTTTTAAACAGAGGCTGGATGGCCACCCTTAGAGGGTGCTTGGATTGACCTTTTCCTGCATGGCAGGGGTTGGACTGGATGTCCCATGGGATCTCCAATTATATGATTCTGTGATTCTATGGTATTGCTAGTCCTCCTGAACGATTCTATGATATATTAGGGAGAGAAGCCCAAGCCATTGTTTACTTTAGGTAAAAAAAGGATAAGGTTCCAGATTATACATCGAAATTGCATTATGTGAAGGGCCCTGGAAGGGTCCTTCACGTAATATCCTTGTCTACTGTATGTGCCACCACAGATAATTAACATGTCATCTTTCATTGTAATTTTTTCTCTCTGTCCTCTTCCACCACATCAGTCCCAGCCTGCATCACCTTGGACTGCAACTCTGCTCATCCCAGCCTGGTCCTTGTGGAGGAAGCAACTGGGGTCAAGTTCAGTCCAGGCAGACGTTTTTGGCGACGAAAACCAGAACGCTTCACTGCCAGCCCTTGTGTGGTGGGTCGGAAGGGCTTCACTTCGGGGCGCTTCTATTGGGAAATACGGGTTGGGGATAGCATGGGGTGGGTGGTGGGGGCAGCTAAGAAGTCTGTGAAACGTAAGAAGCGCCTGAATTTCCAGCCCAAGGAAGGTGTGTGGGCTATTGAGCTGAGGGCAGGACAGTACCAAGCCTTGAGTGAGCCCCGCACTCCTCTCTCGGTCTGTGGGAGGATGGATAAGGTTGGGATCTACTTGGATTGCGAAGGGGGACAACTCTCTTTCTACAACAGCAGCAGCATGAACCATCTCTACACCTTCCAAGAATCATTCCACGAGGAGCTCCTTCCCTTTCTCAGCACCCAAGGGAACCATCCCCTCTCAGTTTGGGACCTGGAGCTCTGAGCCCTAGTTTCAGATGGTAGGGTTTGAAAGAGGAAATATTAGTTGAGGACAGGAAACAGTCTCGATTGTAAGGTAAAGTTAAAGGTT